CACCAGCCGCGATGGGGGGGAAGAAGAGAACGGAAGAGAGACAGGTGAATTCATGATCCGAACGATCATTCCCTCATGATCCGAACGATCATTCATATAAACGGGCCTCACAGAATAGCAAACACGGACCGCAAAGCAGCATATTAACACAAGGGGGCAACATACCCCAAATTCCGGGCATGCCATCAGAAATCTGACTGGGTGGTATAAGCCAGTTGATTACGTGGCAAATACCAAAACGAAGGTACAATGCTTTGCACCGTGAGTCAACACGCAGACCTGCACGCCCCCGAGCTACAGCACACGGAGAGAAATGCAAGTGGGTACACTGTTAAAGGGAAGCGCCAGAGCCAGGCGCGAGGACACTGGGCGAGAATCGCACGCCAGAAACTCGAAAACAGCATAACTAAGTTGGGCGGTTGCGGCATGGCCGTCAGGAGACACGCAGGCGACGGCGACTGCACGGGCTAGGAGCGGCCCCCTACGGGAGCGGCTCACCAGACCGGGCGGCCAACGGCCCACCCGCAACCCCTGAATGCATCGGGCGCCCCATGCGCCAATTGAGGAGGCGGAGGAGGGAAAGAGAAATAAGCAGAGTTCCAAGCCGCTTGTCCCGGCCGGGTGGCCGATACGATGGCGCACAGTTCACCGACCAGTCTTGTCGGCCCGCAGCTCGACGTCGTGCTGCTGGTCATCCCAGTCGTGCATGCCCTTATGCATGTTCAACACAAGTCTTGAGGGCAGAACCTGGAGGCGAACACAAACGGGCCCAGGGGACGAACAGTAGAAGCACCCCATCATACCCCAGACAGCCCCGACGTAGAAGCCACGCCTCAGAGGGCGCAGTTGAGAGTCCCAAGCGTCCTGCGGCTGCACTGGCGGCTGCGACTGCGGGTGCTGGGGCGGACCGCAGCGTGCCGCTGGTAGTGCGCACGAACGGAAGCGTTGGTGCTGGCGCCGGCGCTGGCGTAAGAGGCGCTGGCGTTCATGCTGGCGTCCGTGCTGCTGTTGGTGCTGGTATAGGCGTTGGCATTGGCGCCGGCGCAGGCGCCGACGGCGGTGGTGCTGGCGACGCAGCTCACGTCGGCGCTGGTGAAGGCGTTGGCGTTCGTGCCGGTATAGGAGCTGGCGTTGGGGCTGTCGTCGGTGCTGGCGTTGGAGCTTGGAGGGCTGGCACTGGTGCTGGCGTCGGTGCTGCCGTCGGTGCTGGTGCAGGCGCTGGCAGTGGTGCCAGCGTGAACGCTAGCGTTGGCATTGGCGACGGAACTGGCGTTGGCGCTGGGTGTATGCAATGGCGTTTGTGCCAACGTAGGTGCGGACGATGACGCTGGCGTCGGCGCTTGCGTAAACGCCTGCGTTGGTGCTGGCTTCGGTGCTGGCGTCGGTCCTGGTACAGGAGCTGTCGTTGGTGCTGGCCTAGGCGCCAGAGTTGATGCTGGCGTGGGCGCTAGCGTCGGCGCTGGCGTGGGCGCTAGCGTTCGGGCTGTCGTCGGTGCTGTCGTCGATGCTGGTGTAGACGCTGGCGCTTGTGCCAGCGATAACGCTGGCGCAGGTGATGGTGTCAGTGCTGAGGTCGGAGCAGGAGTAGGCGATGGCATTGGTGCCCGCGTAGGCGCAGGCGTTCGTGCTGGCGTCGGTGCTGGCGTCGGCACAGGCGTGGGCGCTGGCGTTGGTGCTGGTGTCAGTGCTGACGTCAGTGTTGGTGTGCAGTGGGCGCTGGCGTCGGTGCATGCGTAGGCGCAGGCACTGGTGTTGGCGTCAGTGCTGGACTAGGCGCTGATATAGGCGATGGCGTTGGTGCCCGCGTAGGCGCAGGCGTTGATGCTGGCGTCGGTGCTGGCGGCGGCACTGGCATCGGCGCTGGCGTTTGTGCTGCCGTCGGTGCTGGTATAGGCGCTGGCGTTGGTGCCAACGTAGGCGCAAGCGTTGGTGCTGGCGCGGGTGCCAGTGTAGTCGCTGGAATTGGTGCCAGCGTAGGTGCCAACGTTGGTGCTGGCATCGGTGCTGGCGTCGGCGCTGATGTAGACGCTGGTATGTTGCCGGCGAGGGCGCACTCGTTGGGGCAGTCGTCGGTGCTGGCGTCGGTGCTGGTAAAGACGCTGGTGATTGTGCCGACGAAGACGCTGGCGTTGGTGCCGACGTCGGCGGTGGCGATTGTGTTGGCGTCAGTGCTGGGGTCGCTACTGCACGCCCAACTGCATGACCAATTGCGCATGGCCTGGGCGTGGCACCTGGCACGGCTCTGTAATCGTTCAGGCGATGACGGATTGGAATAACCGCCCGAATTTCCGCCCCGGGCGGGCACGGATACTTCGACAGCAGCTCGGAAAAAATTAATCGCACCACAGCGTAAGACGCACCGAACATGTCGCACTGGACGCTGGAGTCGGCGCTGGGGTCGTAGCCGGATCTGGCGCCGCTTTCCGAGAAGCTTTCGAAGCCTTCCCCGAAGACACAGAAGACTTGTCAGGAGGCAGGAGGTTTTTTTCTCAGCGCGACGCAAACCCCGCTCAGATGATGAACCCTCTGGCCAGCCTGCGTCAGATCACAAAGGGCAGTGCTCCCGAACGACGTTGCGCCAGGAAAGCTGGAAAGGAGGCAGGAGGGCTTCTGAGAAGCCCCACCGCCTTCCGAGAAGGCCTTCTCCTCCCTCATCCCCACCCACCCCATGGCGCGCCGCCGATCTGCGGCAGCTCCTGGGAGCAGCCCGTGCCATCGTGTTCGCTCGTGCGACTCGACGCCTAATCGACGCCAGATCGACGCCAAATCGACGCTACTCGACGCGAATCGACGCCATATCGACGCCAAATCGACTCGACGCTAATCGATGCCAAATCGACGCTAAATCGACGCTACTCGGCGCGAATCGACGCCAGATCGGCGCCAGCCCATGGACTACCACACGCCAGTCGACGCCTAATCCACTCTAAAGACGGAGCTACGAGGGTACACAAGGATCCCATGATTTGCGACCGAAGGAGTGCACGGGGCCGGTTGACTTGTTCGAGCTGGCTAGATGGATCCTCTTCCTTTTCCGTAGAACTGTACTACCATGGACTCCCGCTCTGCCACTTCGCCAGCCGATGGGCCCCGCATCGAGGACGTTCCCTCCGACCCGTCCAAAAAGACACCGCAACATGTTCCTGTTCAACATGCGTGGCAGAAGCCGATCGCGTCGAACATCGCTTCTGCACCGCACATAGTTGTGTCTGGAAGTTGCGCTCCCGCTTGGGCGCCGCGCTCAACTTTCGCTTGCCAACTCGTCGGGGGCGGGGTCGCGCGCGAGTGGACGAAATGTCGGCGTCGCCTCCTTGCCGCGCAGATTTTGCCCGAAGGTGGTGCTCTCGCATGGGCGCGGCGCATGTGCGGCACTCCCCAAGTCGTTGGGGATGGGGCCGCGCGATAGCGGGCGAAGGTCCGTCCTCGCCCAAGCCCTGCTCAGGCGTCGCCTGGACGTGGCGTTCCCGACCCAGCGTGGCGCATGCTTTTCACCCGCTGCACCGCGGGAAAGCGGCAGCGGCAGCGAGGCCGCGCGAGAGCGGACGAAGTGTTGTCCTCGCCGAAGCGCCGCGCACACGTGACCAAAAGTGCCAGTGCCGCGTCGGCGCGGAGCATGGTGGGAACACGCGCCAGTCTCAATATCAAGTTGCGTCACCACTGGTTCCTATGTTCCAGGAGGGAGGGTGACTCCCACCTTCCTTTCCGAGCGAGCCCGCGGGCGCTGCCAGCTTCCACCGAGGGAGGGGGCGGGGCACGCTGACTCGTGCGACATGGCTCGTCCCCCCCTGCGCTCCTGAGTCCTCCTCCTCAGTCCTCCTCCTCAGTCCTCCTCCTCCTCCTCCTCCTCATTCCCCTCCCGCCTCCCCCCTCCCACTCACGCCCCTCTCGACTGCACGCAACAGCGACCCCAGGCAAGGGTGACCTTTGCTGCGCGGCTTCAGGAAGCCGAGGGGGGGCTTTGCGGCTGCAGGCGACAGGGTGCCTCTGGAAGAAACCGACGTGGATCCGCGATTGCAGGCGACAGGGTGCCTCTGGAAGAAACCGACGTGGATCCGCGATCGCGCCTCAAGGCCAGCATCATATACAGGCCTCGGCAGGGCGGCCTGCAGCCGAGGAGGAGGTCCAGACCTGATCTCGCAGACCAGTGTCGGGGAAGGGGGGGTGTCGGGAGCGGCAAAGAGGGGGGTGTCCAAGAGGGGGTGGTGCAAATCATGACCGGCGGCATGTGCGCGGCCCAGCAGGGGGGCCAGGGACGTAATGAAACAAGAAGAGGCGCCCGGGAATCTGGGGAAATATCATGGCCCCCGCCATGATATCCACCCCCCCCTAGTCATCACCCCCCTCTTTTCCGCCCCAGAGGGTGGGCTCGCAGCAGAGTTCACTCCAGCGAGAGGTCGCTCTTACGTGTAGCCCATCCTCCTCCATTTACAAATCACCAGATACACGGGCTGATCCGCACGCGCCGCGGGCCCCACGGCGCGACGGAGCCTTGCTCGCCCCCTCGACGTCAGGACTGAACATGATGGCCGATCCTCCTCCTCCTCCTCCTCCTCCTCCTCCTCCTCCTCCTCCTCCTCCTCCCCCTCCTCCTCCTCCTCCTCCCCCTCCTCCTCCTCCTCCTCCTCCTCCTCCTCCTCCTGCTCAGCGGTGGCGTTTCGGACAACGAAACAGAGTGCTAGTGAAGACTACCTAGGGAGGGCACTCGGGACCGGAGAGTGTGTTGCAGCATCGCCGATACAACCTGGGCCTACCTGCTCCCGCTCCTCGCACGCAGCCGAGTGCCACGTGTCCAATGTCCTCTGGGCGCCGCCGCAGCCGCGATGCGCCTTGGCTCGGGCGAGCTGCACACGAGTTGGAGAAATAGCTCCTCCTCCTCCTCCTCCTCCTCCTCCTCCTCCTTCTCCTCCTCCTCCTCCTCCAACTCGGCCTCCGCCTGGGCGGGGGGGGCATGGAAGGGAGGCGCTGGCGGGGTCTACTTGGGGGGGGGCATCGCCCAGGTCCTGCTCTTCCCTCCTCTTCTGCTCCGCCTCTTTCTGCTCCTGCAGCCTCTTGCGCGCCTGGCGCTGCAGCGACTCCGACCTGATCCGCGGAGGGCGACGCAGGCACTCCCGCTTCCTCCGACGACTACGACGACGACAATAACGGCGTCGACGACGACGCCGATGCCGGCGCCGATGCCAACGCCGACGCCGACGACGCCGCCGCCGCCGCCGCGTCCGACGACGACGACGACGACGACGACGACGACGACGCCGACGCCGACGCCGACGCCGACGCCGACGCCGACGCCGACGCCGACGCCGACGCCGACGCCGCCGCCGCCGCCGCCGCCGACGACGACGACGACGACGATCACGGTGGTCCCGCCCCTCTGAGGGGCTAGAAACCCGAGGGGCAGGGAGCCAAGACTGCTAAAACACTGATGGTAGAGCGTTCTGGTCAAAACCTGATCAGACACACAAGCTTTTGGGACCGACCCGGAGTGTGTCTGTTTATGGAACAATGCGCTTTGCTTTGCGAAGTACAATCCGTCAAATAGCGACAGCGCGAATGAGCACGAAAAAGTCAGCTTGAAATTTGTGTTTTGGGGGGAGGGCGGCCGCTAGCCGCTGTCAGTCCGCAGGCGCGCGGGAGCCTGCCGTGAAGGAGCGCGGACTACCGCGGCCATCGGCACAGGTGTATGGGAAAAGCGAAGGCGGAGCTGACGCTGGCTCATTCGGTGACCTTCGCAGCTACCTGCGCCTGGGCCTCGTCGGCCTCGTGCCGCAGCTCCCGCTGGCGCGCCAAAGTCTGCTTGAAGTATTGGGAGTCCTCCCCTCTGTGTTCATGTGCCGAATCGAACCAAGCTGGCTAAGGTAAAGCATCACATGCACTGGGCCTAGCCGAAGTTAAAGTCCAATCTTCTGGTAATATACCATTAAACGTGAGAGGCTGTTTTTAGGCCCCGCGTTTCTCATAGGGGCGGGACCATTGGAGGCGGCCGGAGGGTCTGAAATGGATAGGCCCTGAAAAAATCTGTCCAGAAGAAAAGATGACGGCAAATCCTCTCAAAACCGGTTCCCGGACACATTTTTCGCACAGGATCCGTATTAAGGCCCGAAAACAACCAAAGGAAGCCGAAAAAACAGAAAACCTTCCCGAACCCATCACCTCAAACCTGGACACCCTTCCTGCTGGCCGAACCACTGTTGGGACACCGCAGAAACCCTGACGGTTCCTCCCCCCACCTCGCCCCCCTTCCCCTCGTCCATACGCTCGAATCCTAGACACAGCCTGGCCGAACCCGCTCACGGCGGCTGCGTGCACAGCGCACCGCGGGCACTCACCCGCAAAGGCTGGCGAGGGGCTGAGGCGAAGCAGTTTTCAATAATCCCGTGCAAAAAACGAAGCGAAGTGCACACACGCGAACCCAAGTTTTCGCAAGGAATTCAAAATCGAAACTCATGTCAACATATAAAAACACATGGCTTCGCAAATATGATGTTCAACAAAAGTTTACACCCGCGCTCTGGCGATTTTAAGGACCATAGGTTGTCAACATGTTCATAGATTCTACGAAGTGGGCCTCTCGTACGCGCATGCCGAAATCGTTCGAACAACCTTGCGCCCGTGCTGTCGCAAGAACTCCTTGCAAAAAACGAAACAACGTGCACACGCGCGCGTCGTCGCGCGCGCAAGCCAAATTCATTCAAAAACTTTAGGTTCCGCGGCGAATTCAAAAACAAATGTCCCGAAAACAGATAAAACATATGGTTTCGCCACATGAGTGTTCAAAAGAGCCTGCGTTCGCGGTCCTGCGGATTCTTTAGAAAACCACGCGTCACATTTCCATAACATGCAACCAAACGGGCCCCTCGCGCGCGCATGTTGAAATCGTTCGAATGCCCTTGGGCGCGTGTTGTCGCACAGACCCTTTGCAAAAAAAGGCACGACGTGCGCACGTGCGCGTCGTCGCGCGCGCATGCCGGAACCCTTCAAAAACTGTTGGTTTCGCAAGGATTTCAAAAAAAGAGTCCCGAAAACATAGAAACATGTTTTGCAACATCCGTTTTCTTGTGTGTTTATATTTGTATAAAAAATGCACTCGCGGGATCCTTGGTAAGACTACAGATTTAAAACGTGTCCACCAAGTTCTGCCAAGGGACCAATGCCAAGCGCTCATCGCAATCGCCGCAGCATGGGATTTGCAAAGCAAGTTGCGGGTGGATGGGTGGAATATTTGCAAGAGCGTGGAATGTGCCAACTCGATTCTAATTACCAATTGCTCCACATAGATTCTCCTTTCTTAAAAAATGAACGGTCCCCCGGAGTTAACGGTCCCCCCTGGGGTATTGCGATTTCATATTTATCTGCACACTCGTCCATCCGAAATATGAATTCATACTATCCCAGCCAGCCCGGTATCACTCCCCCCCGCCAACCTCTGTAAAAGAAAACATATGCGCGCACTCTCGTTTATCAAGAATCATTTATATATATATATATAAAAAAAAATAAAAAATAAAAAAAAATAAAAAAATAAAAAAAAGTGCACACGCGCGCGTCGCCGCGCGCGCATGCCGAAATCCTTCAAGAACCTTCGGTTTCGGAAAGATTGCGAAATCGATGTTCCAAAACAAAACTTACAAAAACACGCGGTTTCGCAACACTGCGTTCCTAAAAAAGCTGACGCGCGCGCTCTTGCGAAATCTTAAGAAAACCATCGGCTTTTCAACTTTCTCAAAAAATACTACCAAACGCTTCGCGCGCGCATGTCGAAATCTGTCGAACGCCCTTGCGCGCGTGCCGTCGCGAGAATCCTCTGCAAAAGAAGGAGACGAAGTGCAGACGCGCGCGTCGTCGAGCGCGCATGCCGAAATCCTTCCAAAAACCTATGGTTTCGGAAGAATGTCAAAATCGTGTGTCCAAAAAAACATACAAAAACACAAGGTTTCGCAACACAGATGTCCAACAAAAGCGTGCACGCGCGATCTTGCGTCGTCGTCGTCGTCGCCGTCCTCCCTGCTCCCTCGTCGTCGTCCTCGTCGCCGTCGTCCTCCTGTCTTTCCTCGTCGTCGTCGTCGTGTTGGCGTCGTCGTCGTTTCCGTCGTCGTTGTCGCCGTGGTCGTCGTTTCTCCCTCGTCGTGTTCGTGGGCGTTTCGTCGTTGTCCCTCCTATTTCGTCGCCGTCGTCGTCGTCGTTTTCCCTCCTCCATCGTCGTTGTCGTCGTCGGCGTCGTCGTCCTCCCTCCCCCCTCGTCGTCGTCGTCGTCTTCGTTGGCGTCGTCGTCGTCGTTTTCGTCGTCGCTGTCGTCGTCGTCGTCGTCGTCCTCGTCGGCATCGTCGTCGTCGTCGTCGTCGGCGGCGGCGTCGTCGTCGTCGGCGTTGTCATCGTCGTCGTCGTCAGCGTCGGCGTCGTCGTCGTCATCAGCGTCGGTGTTGTCGTCGTCGTCGTCGTCGTCGAAGTCGTTGGAGACGTCGTCGGTGTCGTCGTAGTCGTTGTCGGCGTTGTCGTCGTCGTCGTTGTCGCTGTCGCCGTCGGCGTCGGTGTCGTTGCCAACTGCCATTTGGTACCCACCGTCACGGTCTTCAGAGGTCTTGCGACCAAGCTGCGGGTGGGAGGGTGGGATGTTTGCACGAGCAGTGGAGAGGACAGCTTCAAGTTGAGCAAGTGATTGGTTGCACCTCATAAGTTGTGCCACGCAGATTGTACCAACTAGGTTGCGCCACATGTATTGCACAACATAAGTGCTCCTAGAAACACACGGTTTGGAGTTCACGCTGGCTACCATATACAGATCCATATAAATACACGTATACACATGTAGTTTGTATACATGCCATAAACATATACAGCTACATGCATAGATGTACGCAAGCGCACGCACACACACTCTCTCTCTCTCTCTCTCTCTCTCTCTCTCTCTCTCTCTCTCTCTCTTTCACACATATCGACATACAGATCTGCCCCCCCTCTGTGATCATACCATTTGCCTTGGCTTCGGCCCTGGTCACTTTTTTTATATTTCGTCCTCCCCCTCAGCTGCCCCCCGCTCGCCGCCGTTCCTCCTCATCCTCTCATCCTCCTTCAGCGGAGCCCTCCGACTTCGGGCTGGGAGCGGCTGCCCGCGCTGGACCCCAGTCCCCCTCAGCCCTCAAGAGGGGGACGCTGAGGAAAAGGAGAGGGAGGAGAAGGAAGAACTATATAATTTGAGCGGAAAGGAAGAGGAGATAGATAAGACGACTGCGAAACCGACGAACATGATGATGACGATAATGATGATGATGATGATGATGGTGATGATGATGATGATGATGATGATGATGACGATGCTGATGACGATGATGATGACGATGATGATGATGATGATGATGATGGTGGTGAAGGGAGGAGAAGGAATTCTTGAGGAATCCGGAACAAGGGGTCCTTAATACGGAATCCTGGATCAGGAATCTCTACAAAGGAAAACTCCTTTAGGAACCTTAACTAAGAAACCCTTCGTAAGGAACCTTTGCAAAACGAATGCTTCCTACGTAATGTTTCACCGAATAAGGAATATGTACCGACGATTCCTCGATAAAGGACCCTTAACTGAGAAATCCCCGAAATAAGAAACCTTGAATCAGGAACCGCCAATAAGGAATAGGAAACCAAGGAAACCTTAAAAACGAATCGTAACTAAGGAACCCTTAAGACAAGGAACCCTACGTGAGGAATCTGCCATAAGGAATCGCCGAAGTATCCTTCATAAGGCATCCGACTTACAGAATCCATACTAAGGAAGACTGACCAAGGAATCTTTACTGAAGAATATTTGCTACGGTAATCTGACTAAGGAATCCTTAATAGGGAATCCGTCATCCGGAATCCTTACTAAGGAATCCCAAAGAAGCAATCTGAACTGAAGAATCCTAAATCAGGATTCCTACGCAAGAGAATCCTTCAGAAGGCATCCTGAATAATGAGCCTGAATAAAGACACCCTTTTTCAGGAACATGTACTAAAGAATCCGTACCAAGGGATAAGTAGCAAAGAACACACAATACAAACTCTGATGTAAGAAGTCCTTAACAAAGGATCCTTAATACGGAGTCCTTCGT